TACCGCTGTGCCACTGGGGGGCTTACTTTTAAGTCAGGATCGTGTTGATCAATGACATATATTTTGGTGCTTTAAATGTGTATGAAAGTGATAACTGTGTTAAATTACTTAATTTAGTTGAGCCGTATTGTGAAACCTGTGTTTGAAATTATCATTGGTACCCACCCTGAATTGTCATCACTTTCTCAGCAGAAACTGTTTGAAAGGAAGGAGCGTCAGCAGATACTTCACAACGAAATATCCCTTCAGTAGTTGGAGTCACTTTGGTGAGAACCACGATGTCCTTGTTGGATCTTTCTATCTGCAAACGTATGAATAACAGTTATTTTTTCCCCAATAAATTCTTAAATATTATATTTGATTGCTATAATACTTGATACTCTAGATAAATTGTTCTATAGGGTCTGAAGATATGCCACATACAGAACTGACATGAACCACATAAACAAGTGAGATAAGCCACTACAAAATGAACATCTACCACGAAGACAAGAACCAGTAAACTGCATCATGAGGACAAGTAATATGAACTACGTATACCACTACAATGAACTGTGACAAAGTCAAACAGTATGTACCACGAAGACAAGTGATACGAAACACCACAAATGCAAGCAACATGTGCCACGAGGACAGGCGATATGAACCAAGAAAGTATGATCCACGTTAACAAGTACGATGAGCTGTGACAAAGTCAAGCAACATGCGCTACGAAAAGAATTGATATTAATCACAAAGATAAGAGCCATGTAGAAAAGTAAAATGAACCACTAGAAAGTCAAACAACGTGCACCATGAGGGCAAGGGATTTGATACACGAAGGTATGAACCACATATACGAGTAACATGAACTACCACAAAAACAAGCGACATGTCCCTCGAGGAAAAGTGGTATGAACACGCAGACAAGTAATATGAATCACTATAAAACAAAAACTAATGAGCCACTAGGACAAGTGACATGAAATACAAAGACATGAACCACTTAGAAAGCAACATGGAACACGACAAAGGCGAGTGACATATATCTTGAGGACAACGACATTATTACACAAACAAGCAAAATAATGTTAACAGGCGTGCCATACGCTGGTGACTTTCAGAAAATATTTTGAATTTCCGAGTTCTGATATATGTCTGTCGGGTGTAATTATCTTTTGACTAGTGCGTGGATCACAAAGAAAATTGTTTGTTTGTTTGTTATGAATTTCGTGCAAAGCTACACGAGGGCTATCTGCGTTTGCCGTCCCTAATTTAGCAGTGTAAGACTAGAGGGAAGGCAGCTAGTAATCACCACCTACCGCCAACTCTTGGGCTACTCTTTTATCCACGAATAGTGGGACTGAGCGTCAAATTATAACATCCCCGCGGCTAAAAGGGCGAGCATGTTTGGTGGGACGGGGATTCGAACCCGCGACTCGCAGATTGCGAGTCGAGCGCCCTAACTACCTGGCCATGCTGAGCCCAGAGAAATTTGTGTTTGACAAGAAAGTAGGCATTTGTTTTTATAATAAATGCCCTAAAAAGTTGTTAGACTCAATGTCTTTAATTATAATAATATTATAATTTTTTTATTTAATCTTCAATTTTCAAGTGGAAGAAAATTCATTTTATGAGATCTTTTATGTCCTTATTCTAGCTTCAGTAAATATGGGGTCTTATATTACTAATGGATCAAACCAGGACCTTTCAAGTGGGCATTTTGGTTTGACCAATTTATGTTGAATTTGCATAATAATGAGAAGACTTGGGGGAAAGTGAAACTTATATAGCAGTGAAACTCAAGTGACTAAGTGTGTGGAATGGTATTTTTTTCAATTAGATTTGAGTGAAAGATCAGATATGCTTATTTTTAAGAATACCGAAAAGTAACAAATTTTCTACTGAGTTTTCTGTAGTAATGATTTCATTTTCCTATATTAATTAATGTTGTGTGTTTCTTTGTCCGTGTTTGGGAATTGTGTTCCTGGCTCCCTCTGAATCTCAAAAGCACTGTATTTGAACCTGTGTTGTAACATCTACTCACAAGTTAGTGAAACCATACGTGCAGGTACCACCAGCGGGTATCCTAACATTATTGTTCTTCGGGTAAGTACCCTTTTGGAAAAGCTATAGAACTGATTGAGGATAACGAATTAATTTAATTGGTACATTGGGGCCTCTGGGAATCATTTGAGGGCCTTTAAACTCCATAAAAGAGCGCGGTATTTTATGTAATATTTTTTAAAATTCAATGAAGTGACTACTTACATTGGTGCTTAACTGCGTTTCATCAATGAACTATTATATTATTGATGAACTAAATTACAAACTATTCCATACTTGTATGAAATCGAACACATAAATAGAATCCATTGGCATCAAGGGAGAAATATATTGATAGGTAAATTGTCTTTTTAGAAAATGCGTGTTGCAAGTTTACGATAGCTGTTAGAGGTCTAACATAATAATTGATCCAAGCAAGAGTAAGTGATTGATTAGACTAAGCTATTGAATTATGCATGAAATTCCAATATTACAGGAACTTTATTGATGATCAGAAATGATTTCATATATTTTTTCTTTCAAACAGAAAATAATTGTGGAAGTTTGCAGGCAATGTAAACTGGAATAAAATACGGAGAATGTTTATCAAATGTATATAGAAGTAAGTTTAAAACTATTATGAGCTATGATAATCGAATTTATTGTAAGTTTTTAATGTGAGGTAAAGCTAGTTTTTTTTTTACGTTTCAGGCGAGACAGTATGGCAAAGCTGCTAAAATGCATTCTTAAGGATTTGAAGAAAGACTCGATAGAAACGAAAGTTTAACTACAATGAAGTAAACTATAAAACTGTTACTGAGAAATAAAGTGACATTAAGTATGATCCCGGAGGCATAAAGTAAAATAGAATGCGGTTACGGATGTGCTAAATAATGTAAGTGGAGAATGATGTAAGCTATAAAATACGGTGTACGGCTGACAAATGACGTTAAATTGAAAACGTCTATTAAAGGTTGATGCAAACAAAAAACCGGTTGTTCAAAGTTATCTTAACTGTTTGGGCTCCTTCTTTACACGAAGAGCTTTGAAGTTTACTTTTTAACAGTTAAAAGAGCTGTTTAGACAATAGAAGCAAAACTAAATTAATCAGAGACTTCTTCTGATCAAATCATTATAAAATTCTTAAAGGTTTTAGTGCATATACAAAAGTATTTGTTTTAGGATGTGAAAAGAGAAAAATAACTGAATGTGTCCCTTTCTGATTTTTATTTGTAATAACTCCAATTGTTATCGTATTTTAGGGCCAACCTTTTATTTCTTATATTTTCTCACAATAGCAGACTTCCTATGATCTTATGGTCTAACATTTTTAGGATTATCTTTTTTCCAGCCATGCCTTTGCATGTCATGAGTCACAGATAACTCTAGTAGGGCTAACAAAAACATTTGTTAATTTGATATTTGGTATATCCAGCCTGAACGACATGTTTTGTGAAATATGGACTAAAGCGGTTAAATTAGTGACCTTAAGGTTCTGGTACAGCCATTCCTAATTTTAATTTTCTAGCCTGAGAGTGACTGTCATTTTATAATGTGTCCACAGCGGAAAATGTGGAGCGTTTTCAGTAGGAAATGGTGGGCTTTAACCTTGGGCCTTCCAATTTGTAGTCCGGCAGTCTAGCTATTAGGCCACATTTGTAACTAAAATAATTAAAAGCAGGTTCTGGGTAATAGTTCATGTCAATGTGACGAAAAGGATGTCAAATAGGGCAACAAGAACGCATTTAAAAACATTGTAGAATAGCCAATGTAATTACCCAGTAAAGGTTTATATAGTTCTATATTTCATACTAATGAAGATTTTATTCCCTGTGCAACCGCCAGGCGAAATATTGGAAATAAATGAGCCACTAGCGTAAGACCAAAGAGAAGTAGCTGGAGTTTTCTTGACTGCAGTTTCAAGTACTTATCCTAACCTCCGAAAACCTACATGCTTTATAAAGTACCGCATCATGTTTCGCAATCTGTTTGTGATACACATTTAATTAATCAAACCTATCAACATTTAATACTATTGAATATAGAATTACCGTTTCTCCTAAGTACTCCTTCTGTTTGATAAATGTCAAGAGCTCTTTTATAGTTCAATGTATACATATATATTGAGTATTCAATATATATATTGAACCGCAAAATGGTTTTCTAAAAAACAAACAAAAGACCACATTAAAACAGATACAAAGTCGTATCCTATGACTTATTATCACCTGCCATTCTTACTATTTGTAAGAGAAATAAACACAGCTTTTAAAAAGTTTTCTTCGTTCTGAAATTATTAAACAACTGCGTTGAAATGGAAGGTACTTCAGGCATGATAAATATTTTTTAATTCTTTCTCTCCTTTCAAACATAGTTTCACTTGTCGAAATACACGCTTCATTTTAATGTGGCCTCAAAAAAGCTGAATTTTCTCATTTGCCAGCTTCAATGTAATCTGTTGGCGAATTTACCTTTTTTTTCTTTATTGAAACAGTCTGTATAGTTAACGTTAAGAGTTATTTTTGATGGGCCACAATCCTCTAAGTTAATAAATGTGATTTGTGCAGCACTACCATTCTCATAGTTAACATTAAACGATACTTTTTCAGTACTACACCATATTGTACTTAACGTAAAATGAGACGTTTGGGCATCATAATCTGTTAAATGTTTTCGAATAACTTAAGTCAAATATTTAGTCTAAGGAGTGTTTTAAGTTGTGCACTTCTGTAATTTACGTTAAATAAGAGTGTTTTCAATATTACATTCGACTAAATATCTGCCTTTCTCAATCTGATGTGTAAAGGTTTACAGATATCGCTAGTTTAGATTTCCTTTTATTATGATAAATGATTATTACTCACGAATCAACACTTTATGTCGTTATATTCATTAATATACGATGAAATTATACGCATGTTTTATAGGACCGTTATCATATGTTAAGCCTATACCATGAAATAATGCCACAGATTGACATCACAGTTATAAAACGCGTGATTGCAAGTTAGGAAAGCTGCTTACTTGATTATTTAGCTTGATTTTAACGAATCATTGAAGTTTACCAGCCATGACGTCACTCAAGAACATAAGGAAAACCGTGTTGTTTTCCGAGGAAAACTACAATTGCTAGGTCCTAAAACGCTGTTGAGATTTTTTTTACATCCAACTATGTACAATTGTCAGTTGGAAGATGGAATCATTTTAAAGATCTTTACTTACTATTTGATATTTAGACTTAGCTCTAAAAATATTACGAAAATTTTCCTTTTCTGC